AGCCTCCGCAGCTGCCAGGACAAGCATTCGGTGCAGAGATATTCCAGGGCGTGATGCCTGCCTGTTCGACTGTGCCTATAGGAGGCTCTTCCCGGTCCTAACATTGGGCCTGAATCGAAATGGTGACATCCCTTTACTTATCAATAACATGCTCTACACCCGTGAGATAGCAGGGGTATGCAGCCTTGTGGTTGTGCCTACACCGGGAGACACATGGTTGTTACCGGACTTTGTCGTGGTCGACAATTACTTCGAATTTCAGCCGAGTCAAGGGCGAATTGGGATCGCTAAAATTCGCCCTCATTAAAAACGTGCCGGATAGTTCATGCCGACGGCAACAGCTTCGCCATTTCAGAGGATACAGTATGTTTTGTCAGAGTCCTCATATATCTCTCATCAACTTATAACGAGATGTTTTGATTTTCATCTCTATAGAGCCAAGATTCGCTTATAGGATCAGTTTGGCCGACTCAGTTACAGACTCTCATATATGCCATTAACTCGATGTTGTGTTGCATCTCGGAATGAACATTCTACTTGGCGCGTTGCAAGACGTGGTGATTAATCAAACTGCACTCTGTGTGAATTACCAGGATTGTGAACCTTCACAGAAATATCGATCTGAAAACGTGTCGAGGTGGCATCGTTTCATATTTGCACTATGGAGTAGTCGTGCAATATATTTTTCGATAGTGTTTTCATATCGTCGGTGGAACTCCAATGTTGACCACGGTTGTTGAATGTCAACACTCCGGTCACCTGCTGATCCTAACTAACAGATTGGCCTGCAACAATGCCGCGTTGTATAGCACATAACTTTGGGAGGTCTCAATACCTTGATCTCAATACCTGCCGAGAGGAAAGGAAGTACATTGGCAGAGGTTATCTCGCCCTGTGGACCAAACCCATTGGCAGGATGGAAGTAGACAATTTAAAAGGCCAAAACTGATCCCTCGAGAGCTAATGTGCATCGACGCGAGTCTAACTAAGCCGTGTTGTCGGCGTTGGACTTTAAACTCACACACACCTTGATCTTTAACTTGTGATCTCCAACGTGCACGAGAATGATTCTCGCGATGTTCTAGCACGGGTTGAACGTCTAGAAAGTCATTGGAAACTTATTGGAGTCCTCAGTGGAATCAGTAATATATTGCGATGAGGCTCCGAATGACTGCCCGAGTTCTTAGTACAAATACAGCGAATGTAAAGTAAAACTAATCGAGATCGTATCAACCAACAAATGTTAACAGAGGTTTGCTCAGCTCAGTAGTAGCAGTTACTTCGCTACGTTCACGCAAGAATTCGCTACAAGTGTACAAAAACCAGCGAGAAGTTGTCTAATTATCATCATGGCGTGTGGTTAAACATGTTCATCATTCCCCGTATTCGATAGCAAGCAGCAGTTCTCCTACCGCTGAAGGCCCAAGCCATAACAGACTCAACGCAAGTTCGTCTACCTTATCGGTTGACCTACAGGATTGCAATTCTACGTATGCAGGTCGCCGATACTGCAGAATACGACGCCACAGTTGTAGGTTGTACCTAATAGGTAGCAACAACTGTGCTAGCAGTGCTAGCTCTCGAGGAAGTGCCCGGCACTCTATTCTATATGACTGAGAATGCTGGTGGTTATCTCGGCCGATGCACAGTGAAAGCCATTATCAATAATGGCCAGGAGTAAGTACAGTATGAGAGGCGAGATCTCACTGAGCCTCCAAGGCTCTCTGGACTCTTTCCGATAAGTGTTAATGATGATCATTGAACGGCTCTGAGAGCCGGGCTGGTCTGTGTCGATTAGTCGAAATGCGATTCTTTGTGGCCTTTTCGATTCCATTCAGTGTCGTACTTAACCGGGATGATGCGTCTTACGGTCGAAGATTGGTGATTTCAACAAACGACGTGAAGTATATAGTGCCACCTGCCGAGTTCGAACCTGTGCGGGACATTAAAGAGGCAATACGAGTTGATGCTGTGGTCAAAGAAGAACGACAGCGGCGACATGTATCTTTCAGAAGGTAGCTCGACAGTGGGCTCGAACGGCGATTTATTTCATGTTTACCCAATGTTGTTGATTCGGCGTTTTCCTTGCTCACCGCTGCAATGGCGCTCGTGCAGGCACATCAAGTCGCGGCAAGAACGAGAGAAGGCCGTCAGAGATTACCAGCAAAGAGCAGCTTTCGGAGGCTAATCATTAATCCTATAAGTTTCTGCATGGACTCTATGATGTTCACTTTACCAAATATGAAAGGTCATTGTAAGGGCTCACAGTGTGAGTTACAATGACTTATAACGTGTAACTTAATAACAACTCTGCTCAGTGACGGATCCCTCCTACTCCTCGAACAGGCCACTAGGGCAAAACTTTCGTCACGAAAAGCCCCGGGTAAATGATTCCTGCCGATGTATTCCCGATAGCTGCATTCAGTTCCTTGATCCTGTCAACAGCTATGTCGAGACCATGATGAGGCGTAAAGTAATTTGCATTCTACTCACAGTCGTTTGTGGCGTTCGCTGGTGGATTGGTCGCACCTATTTCGAGATATTCACGTCACACATCATGACCCACGATTAACTCTCGATTGATGCGCGGATCATCTACCCCTAAGCCTTATCACACAGCAGTAGTAGAAATCGATGAACGATTTTAGGCACCGCGACCAGGTCACGATTCGTGACTTACGAAAGGTTTTCTGACAAACTCACTAAGACGTCACGGATTACTAGTCAGTCGCGAACTACTGACAGAGAGCTGCCAGAATGAGCTGCGCGATCGATCGAAGATCTAAATTCCCGGATAATAGCGGAGTTGGTGGAGAAGATGAATATTCGGAAAGAGAAAGAACTAACCTATCGTTACTGGTGTGGAATGCCAACTGAACGCGTCTCGTGAGGATAGTGACCGTCACGCATGATCATTGTGCACGCACAATGATAGGACTACTATCATAGTAGCAGGCCTTCATCAGCGGATAGCCTAATATTGGAACTTCGCAACAAGAGCAGACCTCGACTATTGAGCAGCCGAGTGGAGGGGTCAAAAGAAGCAAAAGTCTACTCTCGTTCGATAAGTTCAATATGCGTAGCGGGACCGATGGATATAGACAGTGCTAGCTCTCTTCGTGCAGACAGAGAGCTGTCTTTTAGCTCTGTCGTTATAGACAGTGATAAGTGTGTGACCTGCGAAGAACTACACTCTCATCTTCTCCAACACCATGCACGATATTTGTCTTATTGCTGTGGTCTGGGCT